AGAGTGACGTTGCAATGAGCAGACAGGAAGTGACCTGCGCTCTGAACAGGATGTTCCACAGCGCATCACAGGACGTGCCAGTTCATGTGACTGCAGCAGCTACCGAGGAGACATGCAGTCTGATGTTCAGGTTGTTTGACCGGTCAGTGTACTCACAGTATCACATTACTTGTAGTGCTCATAGTACTAACAGGACTGCACCCAGTCAGAGTAACAATCTGTGTGTGTGTGTGTGTGTGTGTGTGTGTGTGCTGCAGCAGTCGGTCCGATGAAGTTTCAGCTCGCTCTCTTCAAACCGCTCTGATCGCTCTGTCCTCAGATAACCTGCTGCTAAAGTACAGAGGTGAGGACAATACACTGCTCTATAACAGGCCTTCACAATAAAATGCACAGCCCTTCACAATAAAATGCACAGCCCTGTAGAATAAAGCTCGGGTGTTTTCAGGTCTGCTGCAGGTCTCGACAACCCCTTCAGGATCCATCAGCAAGCCTGGACTCAGGTGTTTGCTGATGGACCTCATCCAGGTAAAAAGCTCACACTACATTTCCCAACATGCCTCTGCTGCTGCTCTCTGTAACGTGTGTTTTCAGGTTCCTGCGGCAGTTCAGGAGGAAGTCGTGTTTGACGATTTGGAGGCAGCAGTTCAGTCGTGTTTTAAAGGGGTGAGAACACAAACGCACACCTGGCTGTGATTGGCCATCGTCATGGTTAACATGTTATGTGTGTTTATAGGTGTTGACCCCAACAGTGAGCAAGCATCATCTGTTGTCATGGCTGCAGAGTGAGCCATGCCTGTTGCTATGGTTATCCACTCTGTACCGGCTGTCAGCCAGTCAGAGCGTCCAGCACAACGTTCGCTGTCACATCTGTAAGACCCGCCCCTTCACTGGGCTCAGGTGATGTACATTTTAAACTGGAAACTGGGTAAACACGGTCCAGATGTGTGACGAAGATTTACCTGTGTATTCAGGTATCGATGTATGAAGTGTGTGAACGTCCATGTGTGTCAGAGCTGCTTCCTGACTGACCGCCAGACTAGGAAACACAAAACCCACCATCCAGTGCTCGAGTTCTGCAAGCAGGTAAGAACACACGTAACCGGAAGCACAGGGAACAGAACAGGTATCAGGGGGCACAGGTAAGAACTCATTTAACAGTACAGGTAAGAGGAACAGGTGACAGGAAACAAAGGTAACAGGAGTAATAGGTGAAAGCCTGACAGGTAAGAGGACGCAGAGAGGAAGCGAGGGGTAAATCCCCACAGGTGCACATGGAGCAGGGCCGTGCAGAGAGGTTTAAAGGGGCGGGTGCTCAAAGTTAAAAAGGGGCACATTGAAACAGGGTGAATAACAACAACACACATTCATCAAGAATCTAATATGGGCAACAAGGCAAAGCAAACGTAGCCGATGTTTTACCTGATGGGTACAATGTTGCTGTTGAGGGGTTGCTGTGGATAGTGCTGGAGGGCAGGGCTGTGTTGATCTGAGACTGTAGACATTAAAAAGTCCATAGGAGAGATGGTAGCTGATTAAACAAGTGTCATGAGATAATAACAAAATGCAAAGATTGGTGACAGCGCTTGGAACCATAAGGCAACAAAAAACTGTGAGAAATAATTTAGGCTCTGCCTGTGAATCACTCTTTGCTTCTCTTCTTCCTTCCATCCCATCATTTCATATATCACTCTCCACTTGCTGTCTATCTGAGAACAAGGCACAACTTGCTATTGCAATAAACTATAATCTAATTATCCACACCTAACAACTCTTGCACTTAATCTATAATAAAATGATGACAGAAAAATGTTATAGCACTGCCTTTAGTAGCCTCACACAGCTCCTGCTGTTTCCTCCTCATGTCCTTACCAGCCATGTCTGGACAATGTTATATCATGAGTAATAATTAAAAAATCCATTAAATAAAACACACACATGCACGCACACACAGTGACATTTTAGACCTTCTTCAGAATACTGTATATACTATGGGCATCATGGTGCTGATCCAGAATCCTTACATTATTATTTATTACTAGAGCTACAATAATAAAGCAAGAGGAGGGGGAAGTAATAAATATGAAATAATGTCATTATGATGATTCCATTTGTTTCACTATCCACTCTGTGCAGGGAAGCTTATTACATGTTTAAACTGTAGAGATACAATACATTTTACTGCTGTAAAATCCAAACTTTTGTCTTATTTAAAATATAAATCTAATATAATCTGCTTCTGGGGCGATCGTGGCTCAAGAGTTGGAAGTTCGCCTTGTAATCGGAAGGTTGCCGGTTCGAGCCCCGGCTTGGACAGTCTCGGTCGTTGTGTCCTTGGGCAAGACACTTCACCCGTTGCCTACTGGTGGTGGTCAGAGGGCCCGGTGGCGCCAGTGTCCGGCAGCCTCGCCTCTGTCAGTGCGCCCCAGGGTGGCTGTGGCTATAATGTAGCTGCCATCACCAGTGTAGTGAATGGGTGGATGACTGGATGTGTAAAGCGCTTTAGTAAAATACAAATACAGGCCATTTACCACTTAATGTATGTTCTTTAAAATACAGCGTGTGTTTTTTAAAATATATTTATAATAATGCATAATTATGTGGACATGCATATTAGATCGTTTTTTAGTGAAATATAATCCCTCCAGAAAGGCAGGAAAAGCTCCTGTAACTTACTTTAAAACTAAATATGTTCCCTAAAACGGTGACAGAGCTACAGACCCATGACAGCCTTACACAGGTAGCCAGCAGCTATGACCAGCACTACTTGTGCAGTTAATAAAAGGACAGGTAATGTTTGTCGCGCTGTTGCACACACAGCACGCTCGTTTGTTTCAGTTCGTCAGTTGCAACAAGACAGCTTACCAACGTGTACGTAATAAGCTAATACTCCTGTGCTACACACTACAGTGTACGCTGTACACCTACTTACTGGTTTTGTCGCATCAGTCTGTGTCTCTGAGTTAACTTGTGTTTCTCCTACAGCTCCGGACCGCAAAAATGCGCGTGCTCTTTGTGAGCTCGTTCCCGGCTCGTAACCAGCGCGTTCTGCCGTCAAGGGCGATCATTGGTTAAATGTGATCATGTGACTGATGCAAGCCAGATCCTTTTATTTAGCAAAACTGTGATTAATAGTTAAATATTATTGTTGAGGGGCACAGACAGGACTCCGCACGCACACACACATTAAAAAAATAATAATAATTTTTTTTTAAAAAGTTGCCTCAACAAAAGGGCACTTTGGGCACCCATCAGGAAAGGGGCGGGTGCTCAAGCCCCTCTAGCCCCCCCCTCTGCACGTGCCTGACATGGAGGGGTAACGCTTGTAGAAGACGTAATAACCTGTTCAGTTCAGTTGTCATTCTATACCAGCCCACCTGGAGAGAGTCTCTAACCTTGTTGGTGCGCAGTGCTCATCACGCCTTGCTGCCACGGCGACACACTCAGAGAGAAGCTAATTGGAAGAGGGTCCTAATGTGGGAGGAGCCAAGCGAGACGGAGAACAGGTGTGAAAATAACCCTTTCATAATACGACCCCCCTCGTTAGGTATCTTATTATAATTACATTTCTTTTCCCCTCAGAGCACCACCTGCTTCTGATGCCTCAACACGATTGGCTGGCTCGTCTCACAGCCCCTCCTCTGAGAGGGGTGTTTCACGTGGCGCCTCAGAGGCTCCTCCTCCTCACTGCTCTTCTTCGTGTAAATCTCTGCAGACGAATGAGGACGCGTCCAGTCAGCAGGTGACGTGATGAACTCACTGTGTACTATGATGTCATAAAAATTATGTAATAGCAACAGTCATGTGACTGTGTGTGTTTGGCGTTGAAGACAGTGGCGTTGCTGACAGACGTGAAGAACCTACAGAGGGACCGATGGTGAGAACAAAGAAAAACAGAGCCAGATGGTTTTATCAGCTTCGTGTTTATGTTTGTTTGTTTCTTTTTATCTTGTTTTGTTTTAGTTTGCTACCTTATGTTGTTTGTTTGTTTGTTTTTCCCCATCAGGCTGTTGGAGCAGGAGCTCCAAACGTTTCGGCTCACTGTCCAATCCGAGCAGGGCATCCTGGAGGAAAGGTGCTCTGAGATGGAAGTTACTGTGGAAACATTGACGCGGTACAATGCCCAACTGCAGGGCATGCTCACACAGGTGAGTGGATGTGGGCGGAGTGATTGGCTGATGACTGCTGAGGTGCCTTCTATTAGTTGTAGCTGAAAATGTTGTTCTTCAGGCTCTGAACAAGATGGAGGCTCAACAACACGCCAGCAACATGCCAAACAGTGCCAACACGGAGAACACAGAAAGAGGAACCATCACGCCAACTTCTGACACTCTGAAAAGCACAGAAGAAGAAACAGAGGAGGAAGAGGAGATAGAGGATGAGTGGAGCCAGGAAGAACTTCAAACTCAAACATCTCCCACAATCCACCAGGGCTCACCTCCCTCACCTGATGGAGACTGTGAGGAGTCTGCAGGTCGCATGTCTCCACATCACCCAGTAGAGCTACAGCATGGCCCTGAGGAGGCGGAGCTACAAGGAGAACGAAACAGTCTGTCTGAACAAGAGGAGGAACATGGGCCACGTAGTTCAGAGACGCTGCTGCAGGGGACTGTAGAACGACTGAAGGCTGCGCTGGAGACACACAGGTGGACTCAGACAGGTGAGGCACAGACAGGTGACTGAGACTGCAGAAGGAAACGGAAATGACTGCCTGAGGTCAGACTCACCTATCAGGTGAGCACACACCTGACAGTCAGTACCTGTAACAGTCAGTGCATCATTTACACCTGCTGCATATCCTTTCCAGCTCAGTCTCTTTGCCAAGCCAGTTAGCACAAGTCCTTTCTTCTTCATCTCTTTGATAACTTTGTCCTTCAAACACTAAAATTAATGTTACATCATGTTTCTAACTCTGTGTCCAGGTGAGAGGACGAGGGCGGAGCTTCTGCAGGCTGCTGAGCAGGTGGGAGACTCGATGCTCCACCTGGTCGACGCTATGGAAACAAACTCACCAGCTGATTCGTCCAGCTTAGAAAACTTTATTTAATCATTAAATAAATGCACAGATACAAAAAGTATCAAAGTTCACCTGTAGAAAAGTTACCAAAACATAACGTGTTTCTATGGAGACGTGAAGCTGCCAGGATCATCATCAAGTCGTCATGTTTCATGTGGTTTTACAAACATGAATTTAAATAAAACATGAAATTTCTTTTGTCATATTTTTTAACATTTCATCCGAATTTTGTTTACACACAATAAATAAAATCCATTCATAATTTTTACTCCAATGCTTCCCAAATAAAACTTTAAAATAATTAAATTAAAACAATAAAAGCTCTTCAAAATGGACAGATTAAACTTTATATTTCGATTTTTAACTTTAAAAATTAACATTTTAAAACAATCAGATTTGAAAACATCATTATGGCCAAAACAAACCTGGCATTTAAAACACACCTGGACAGGCAAGTCGTACTACAAACACAGTAAAAATGATAAATGGATTCAGTTTTTATTTTAAAATTGGCACCAGCAGGCTTCCATACACTTCTAACAGCCTAATTAAAGGCTACATTATCCAAGAATAACTGATCAATAACCCATCAATAACCAGCACCATCAGGTTTCATGAAAAATAAGACTTCATTTTGAAAATCAGCTATCGCCGCGACCTGCGGCCCCTCCTCCTGCGTGATGACAGTAAGGGGGCGGGGCCTGCAGAGATTGGGGGTTTCCTGCCGGGTCCAGCCCGGCGCAGCCCCTCCCTCCTTGGGTGAAGGGGTGTGGCCTGACCCCTGGTTTGTATCTGGGAGGGTGGGGGGAGTGCCCTCTCCCTTCTAGCCCCTCTTCTGCTCTCTGACAGCCTGTTGAGGGGCGGAGCCTGAGTTATGTCGGACTGAGCAGAGTCCCTGCTTAGCGTGCTTAGCAAAAGGCTGCTGCTGTGACCTTTCACCTCTGTGGGAGTTCTATCGGTGTTCAGGTCCGGGCTCAGACTCCTGAACAGCTGACGAACACAGGGCGGTGGTGGCCCAGAGGGGGTGGAGCCTCTGCGCCACAGGAGGCCTCTGGGTGGGTTCTTGAGGATACGGTTGGAGGCGGGGTCGTAGAACCGGACAGGAAGTCGTTTGTATTTGACCTTTAACCCCTGCTGCTCCAGCGGGCGCCGTTTCTTTCTGCAGCGTTTGTGGGTGGAGCCTAACGCTGACACTCGGGTGGGGGCGGAGCCTGATGGGGAGGAGAGTAGGTAGACCAGCGAAGTGCGTGGCTGTACAGGTGTGATGATACTGGAGTACGACGAAGGGAGAGAACGCCACGTCGGCACAGGTGTCCTCTCAGCTGCCTCTGGATTGGCTTGTGGGTAGTCGATGGGTGGGGCCTCAGGGGATAGCTGATGCACGGCGGGAACGACCAATCGGACTGTCTGAGTGCTGTGACTGACCTTCACCACCTGCAGGAACAGTGCAGGTGAGACCTTGTTCTTTTGCAGGAACTGACAGCGCTCTAAGTCACACGACTCACCTGACACCTTGATGCCAGTCTGAAGCTCCGCCTCCTTCCCCTCCTTCTCCTCATATACACATAGTCCCCCTCGTCTGGGTCCAGCAGGGGTAGCATACCTGCATCTGGCTCCACCTCCTCGGGTTCAGCATCCCCCTTCATTTTCTGGCTCCGCCTACCATACCTGAGTTTGATGACATCAGCAGAGAGAGTCATGGGTGTGATTTACGACCTGAACATGGATTACCCGCAGAATAAAAACCTCGTTTTAGTAGAAAAGTTGCGTGACAGCGACCACTTCAGCTCTTATACCTGCAGTATCTTAATCCAGGACATCTTTAACCAGGATGTTATTGGCTACTTTTACTACCTAACTCAAACTTCAAACTTAAGGAGACTCAGGCAGGTCTCTAGACTAACGTTTTGCCATGGCTGCACTGGTGCACCTAACAACAAAAGTAACAAAAGTTAGGTGCACACAAACTTTTCAACCACATCGCTTAACGCCGCAGCTTTACATGTTCACTTTGTTTTTAACTGCTGTCCATACAGACAATACTGATTTGTAAGTGATTAACTAACAATCTTGTCAACACAAAGTTCTTTATTTGGAGCACATTTCTACAAGAAAGATAAGTTACTGTATTTTTCAGACCATAAGGTGCACGGGTTTATAAGGCGCATTAAGCGAAACCAAACAGATAAGTCTTTAATAAACTTTACTCAACTCATTCTTCTTGCTTCCTCTACTTCTGTATCATTGATTCATTAATGTTGAATTCTCTCTCAGCTGCTCCATTCCCGCGTGACTGATAAGAGTTTGAAATCCATGTCGTAAGCATGTCTCTTAACAGGAGCCATTTTGGGGTCCTTATACACACACAATACGGTAATATTATGCTGAAGCACAGTGCGTTTCACTACACGAGGCTCCTGACTGTGGTAGCAGCTGTGCTCCAACAATCTATCAAGCGGTGTGGCTTCATAGCTTACCAAAGAGATGCTGAAACATTTTGACAGATTTTTGAGCACCGTGTACATAAAATCGTTTTGTGGTCAGTAAGCACAACCAGAATTCATACATAAGGCACACTTTTGAGGAAATTAGAGGATTTTAAGTGTGCTTTATAGTCCTAAAAATACGGTGCAGAAAAGGTTCTTGTGCTTAAAGTGCTTCACTGAGCTGAAATTTAAACTTAAAATATCTTAAGATATATAAAATTAAAAGAAAGTCAAACTTAAGTGCCTCAAAGGTTTTGAACTGAACATCTCAATATCTGAACACCTTACCTTGTGCATGGGCACCTGAGAGGTCCCGACCTTGACTATCTCTGATTGGTTTGGACCACGATATGGGCATAATGTTGTCTGTTGTTGGCCACACAGAGACTTTCAGAGTTGTGGAGACGTTTTTTTTTTACTTGAACCTAGGATTTTTTTTTGTCGCACCTTTGAGAAATTAGGTCGCATTTGCAACCAAACTGGTCGCACTCTAGAGCCCTGTCAGGTAAGCTCAACTAGCTTTATGTAAGCTCAGCTGACTTCTTGTTTCCTGTGGATTGTAATATTGGCAGGTTCTGGCTCACCTGGCGAGGGACTCTGTGTCAAAGTAGCAGATGAAGCGCCCGCGCCTGAACTGTCTCACCAGCCTCTCCACCTTCTCCTCGTCCTCCTGCTGGATCTGGGTCCAGGTCTTCCCCCTGAAGGATTCTGGGATACGCTCCGGGGCGGGCCTCACCTCCTCGATGGGTAGGGTCCAGAACCCCTCCTCCGTCCCGTCACCCGGCCCGTGGAGGGCAAAGTGCAGCTGCTGTGAGTACACTCTATCTTCCACGTCCACCTGCGCATCCATCAGATGGCAGAGGTCCCGCCCCTCCGCCTGACTCACCTGCGCAGGTGTGTCACTGAGAGTTTGCGCTCGTTGCAAAACCACCTGCAAGGTGACATCAGTGATCAGTGCCTGCGCTTGTCAGGACACGCCCAATTCTTCCCTGGACCCACAGGTACCTGCACAGGCGAGTCCCAGTCTTCACTCTGTGTTTCCATGGAAACAGGGAGGCTTAGCTGGAAGCTATCTGTATCATCTTGGCAGGAAATGGCACCATAACAGCACCTTTGAATCACCTGCGGGTGGAACAGAGAGACTGGTTGACAGGAAGTCCACCTGGGAACCATCAGTGTACTGGAACAGGAACTAACCTCCTCGATGGTCTGGTCCAGAGGGTCCGTGTGGCCTGAGGAGAATGCATCCTCTCTGTGGGCCTCCCTCCTCTCCCTCTGCCAGGTGAGCCAGGGCCTCTCACCTGGACCAGGCCTGTGGTCTGTGGGGGTCAGGTGGGGTCGGGGGCCATGGCCTGGACCTCCAGGGCGCTGCGAGGAGGACGAGGACTCACTGGTTTTCCTCCTGTTCGTCTTCCTATGGGCTTTCCTATGGACAGGGGGCGGAGTCTCCAACTGAGAGGCCGGCGCTCTGCGGTAAGGAGAATGGGTGTGATCAATGATGCCTTTGTCCTGCTCTCTTATAGGTACAGACAGCCTCTCCTGGCCCACTCTGTCGCCTGACTGGCTGCAGGCATCATCTTCTTCCATCGGACGGGCTGGGTGACAGGAAGCGTCATCAGAGCTGGGCAGGCATTCTCGGGTACCTTGAGACCGGCTGTCGTCGGATAAACGGACTTCATCGAGCTCCGCTTTTGGCAATGGGGGGGTGGAAACTGATGGGAGGTCAGTGTGAGACGGCCTGAGGCGGACAAACAATTGTACAGGTAAATAAACAGGTTTGTTTGAGTTGTCAGAGGTCTGCGCTATGAAACCCTGAAGCTACCTGTCCTATCCAGGTAACTTCAGGGGTGACTGTGGATTTACAATGAAGGTAGTTCACTTATTACTGGGGTGTCTACCTCCTAAGTCTTGCGTGATTAGCTGTCTCAGGGTGCAGACTGTTGTAAACCCTAACTTCCAGGGATCCATAAGAAACAGGATTTATGAAGTTTAATGTAGCTAGAGGTTAGCAGGGAGTTAAAAGAAGTCCCATAAATGAAGACAGAAAACCAAACAGCAGTGACATTTGTAGGGTGGCTGAAGGTGTACCACCTTCAGCCAACCTAGGTCAGGGGCCCCCAACTCCCCCCAGTTTTTAGATGTGTCCGTGATCCAACACAGCTGATTCAAATGGCTGAATTACCTCCTCAACATGTCTTGCAGTTCTCCAGAGGCCTGGTAATGAACTAATCATTTGATTCAGCTGTGTAGACCCAGGGTGGGATCTAAAACCTGCAGGACACTGGCCTTCGAGGTATATTGGTGTTCTACCTACAGAGCTATGGTAATATAAACACATTAGCACAGTGAAGCTGGACGACACAGCTAACTTTCCCCCCTCAATAAAAGTTTATGTGAGAGTTCCTGATGGGCAAATGTAAATGAAAAGATACTGAGAACAGCCCAAACTTCATCTGAGATCATCCATCAGCAACATGAGGTTAGTCACTGTGTGGTCTGTCCTGATGCTCAGCTTCATGTACACGTTCAAATCTTTGTTAGCCTCAGAGTGACTCTTTTCTCATCCGCTAGAACAGGGGTCGGCAACCCTAGGCACGCGTGTCACAGTTGGCACGCGAAGGGTTAACTGATGGCACGGCCATAGCTGGACTGGCCATCGGTGACCCAATGATTATTTTTTAATTTTTTTTGTAACAGTATAAACAACTAGAAAGCAAAAATTTCTGAAGAAATTTTAAGTGTGCCTATGCCGCTGCCAATAAGTGTAGTTTGCCAATCATACGGCTCCAAAAAATAAAAAAAAAATCCAAATAAGGGTAGACAGGCCGTACTACTGCTGGCATACCACTAGAGTGAGCCAACACACCACAAATTAAGTGAGTGAGCCAACACTCCACAAATTAAGTTTCACTTTCGTTTCAAGTTAAGTTTCACTTTACTTCCCATTCATTTCAATGGGCAAAAACTAGCATTAAAATATTCATATTTAAAAAACTATAGAAGTAATAAACACCAAAAGTCATAGCACACCATTCCTGATCCAGCCGCACAAAATGATATAACATATGTGAACCTTGTCTCAAAACTGTAGGGCGAGTTACGCGGCGAAATTTCAGGCAAATTTGCACTAAAATCTAAATATTTAAAAAACTATAAAAGTTATGAACACCAAAAGTCATAGCATACAAGTCCAGACCCAGCCGCACAAAATGATATAACATATGTAACCCTTGTGTCAAAACTGTGCGGCA